AGATGTCCAAAAGCCAAGAACGCCAAGGACAAACATGGGCTCAAGAAGCAACGAGCATACATCTCTTGGGGAGGAGACTCCGGCGATGAGTCAAGCGAGCAAGAGGAAGACGAGGAAACAAACCTTTGTCTCATAGCTCAAGAAGAAGAGGAGTCATCCAACGACAGAAACCAAGAGGTATGTATTTCTTCTACCGATTCTTATTCTCTTGGAGAAATGCAAGAAGCTCTCTAAGAGCTTTATGACGAGTTTGTTAGCGCTTCTAAAACCAACAAAGCTTTAAAGAAACGTTTTTCTAATCTTGAAACTGAGTTTGAAAAACTTCAAAAGGAAAACAAAAAACTAAAAGAGGAAAATAAATTTTATGGTAAAAGAAGCGCCGACAAACCCGAGAGCTCTACAAAACATTGTGACTCTTGCATAGCTTTGAAAGAACAAGTTGCTGAGTTAGAAAACACGGTGAAGAAATTTAATAAACCACATAAAAATCTTAATCTCGTTTTTGATTCTATGCAATACACTAAACAAGGAGTAGGCTTTGGGAAAGTTGAGCACAACCGTAAATCACCTAGAGCTCAACCTAAGAAAGATAAAAATAAAAATAATAGACAACCTAGACAAAAGGTTAATCATGAACATGAGCATTCTAGGCAACCTATGAGGAATTATCAAAATGATTTTATGCACAGAAATGACTTTTCAAATAGACAAAATAATGCTAGGACACCTAAAAGAGAGAATTTTCAAAAACCAATATTTTCTCAAAATAGGATGAATATGGTTAGTCCCCCTAGCAACTATTATCAACCTAGGCACATGTTCAACCCAAACGTAATATGGCATTATTGCAATAGGGTAGGACATATAGCTTCCGTGTGTTTTACCAGACATAGGCACTCCACCTATAATGAAACACACAACATTTTTGGTGCTAACAAAAAGAAATCCTTTGGAAAAGGATATTCGTATCATAAACAATCTCCACAGGATAATGCACAAAAGAAACCGTATTATTTCTTCTACTTTGACGAAAAGAGAAATGTCCACATTCCGTTGCCGGAACCGACAAAAACCACACCGAGATATCGGCACTACGTTCAGGTAGACTGGAACCCGCCAACCACAAGACGACGGGTTGGCCAAGGTAATTCCTAAATGATCATCTAATCGTGTGCGTGTGTGTGCGCGTAAGGAAACAAATTTTGGGTGTGTGTGTGGACAATGAAGGTCAACTAACCCCCAAGGACCCATAGACTTACTTTGGGTACCAAAGTGTTGTTCTTTTTTGCAGGCACGGTTCAAAATGAGGGAATCAAGAAGTCAGGGGGAACCAGTGATGGGTGGCTTACACCATCGCTGGGAGGGAAGTCCTTTCTTTCCAGAACCTCTATACCCATCGATGGGAACTCCCTCCCATCGCTGAGTACTTAACTCAATGATTTTTAAAACATTTTTGGTCTTCCAGAATTCCACTACCCATCGATGGGAATAACCTCCCATCGCTGGGTGTTTGACATTCGTTTTAAAAATTCCTTCCAGAACCCCCCTACCCATCGATGGGAACTTTCTCCCATCGCTGGGTGTTTGACACTATTTTTTTTTAAAAAAAATTTCGGATTCCCAAAATCACCAACCCAGCGATGGGATGGTATTAACATCGCTGGGAAGGCTTTCGTCTTTTATCCTTCACTTTCCAGAATCCACCTTCCCATCGATGGGAGAATCCACACATCGCTGGGAAGGTAGTCTGATTTTCTCCATCGCTTTCCAGTAGCGACCTTCCCATCGATGGGTAGATCCTACCATCGCTGGGAAGGCGGTTGAAGTTCAAAATTTCAGAACTTTTGGAGACAGCATTAATGGCCCAACAGCTCTTTTTTTCAAAATTCAAACGGGATTTGCTCCTCTCCCTATATATTCCCTTCACCCTTAGCCATGTTAAACACACTTTTATCTTCTCAAATTGCCTTGCTTAACTCTATTCTACTCAACTCATTCATTTTTTTCAAAAACGCCACAACCATGGCCGGAGGAAAGAAGACAAAAGCTTCGAAGAAGAAGGTCACTACCGAGGCTACGAGCTCTGCGCCTCAACCGTCCCCCTACCTAGACGGCTCGTTTCTTGAGTTCGGGTCGGAGGAGGAACTCAACCGGTTTGTAACACCCCAACCCGCGTAACCCAAACCCGTGAGATAGCGGACCGGTGTGCCACTGGGTTGGTATCCGAATATACAACATTTTCAAAACAATTTTAAACCAACGTTTTTTCAATACATATAAAAATCCATCGGAGTAATTTAAAATAATGCGGAAGCCTTTTTAAAGTCAAACAACTTGGGATCTTGCCCGAAAACGTAATAAGCATTAAAGTTAATTAAATAAAGCATAATCAACAGATTAAAGAGACAGCCACGCCATCGTACATCTCCTCCTCAATGCCCTCTGGGATCGGCTCTAGGTTCATCTGTCTGATCACCTACGGACAGCAAAAAGGAAAACAACACTATCCGCTCAGCATTGACGCTGAGTGGCACTCCATTGTAGCACAAGAATAAACATAATAATTCAATGATTAGATCG